AATTTATTGAATAATCAGATTTATTTAATAAAATATTATAAAAAGTATTCTCAAAATTTCAAAGTAAATGAGTTTTCAAATTTTCTATTTTGAGAAGCAGTTTTTCAGAATGACAAAAAGAACACGTTTTCAACAATTCCAAAACAAACACTCAAAAGAAAAAACACAAAATGAATTCAAAACTCAAAACACAAAACTGAAACACGAAGAGAACGACCCCTCATTTTTCTCAAAACACATATTTAACCACACATTCTCTCAATAAAATACTTTTACACGTGAACTCAAAACTTTTCCTACTTTTTAACAACATATTCTCCAAAAAAAAATTACTAGTACAAAATATATTCTCCCAAAAGATGGGGCTCAATCAAACCCTTAATCTCTTAACAGAAACCTTCCAACAGAAAAAGCTTGTGTTGAAGAACAGCATTACAGGAAAATAAATATACAGGTGCATAGTGAGTGGCACAAATCAAAATAAGCATTAAGGAAAACCTTGGCTTTAATAACTGTCAACAGGTAAATAGCTAGTAATAGAGGGAATCAAAAGCGATAAAATTGGAGGTATCCAAAGATGGTATTTTGAAAGAACTCTGCACTTTAAACTCATGACAAATTAATGATCAAGCTTATATCTTGGCGCATCCCCACTCAAAAGATAAAAATGACCTCTCACAGTTAACGCGCAATACATTAAAGTCAAACTTCAGCAACACTGAAATTTAAATATACGTGTTCCTCCCTTAAAAGACCCATAATAGAACAGTAATCTGTAGTAAATCACGAGCTTATTGATAAACTCAACTATACATGACTTCTATTAATCTTTTTCAGGACCACAAGATGAGGTCTTTGCGAGAGAGAAAATGCAGTCTTGCAAGCATGCAATGAGTTTTAAGTAGATGAATAGTAAAATGTGACAAGTGAGAATATTCTCCTCTATTTCAAAATTATTGTGGGGATAGGAACGAGAGAAAGTGCAGTTTTCTAAGCATGCAATGAGTTTTAAGTATACGCATAGTAAAATGTGACGTGGGAGAATATTCCCCTCTATTTCAAAATTATTGCAGGGATAGGAATGAGAGTTTTATTATGAGGTTAACCGACAACAACAAATTAAAATAAAGAAGAAAAGGCATGAAAAGGGAACATCGTAAGACGGTGATATACATTCCCAGACCTAAGTAAAGCACAGAAGGTCACTATTTTTCACATCAACAGCTTTCAGTAACTTTACTCTTTCATATTAAATGAACATCATAGAAACTGAGAC